CGGCTTGCTGCGCCTCTGGTGGCAGCCGGTGGGAGGGGATCCGTAGGCCCACACGCTCCGGGCCTCAGGGTCATCAGCGCTGGAAGTCCAGACGCGCAGACCTGTGTGCTGGACCTCTCCTGTCCGCCCGGACGCGCGAGGAGGAGGTACCAGACAACGAGGCGTCCTCGTCGTCTTCCCTCCTCCGATTTGGCCGAACTGTCACTCGGAAATTATCCCCACTCGATGTCGGTGCTTAGCCGAGGAGGGATAATCGGCCAGGCGTTTGCGTCGCGAGCCGACTGCTGTAGTGGGCCGAGTCCTCGGCTTGGTCCGGTCCCAGTCACTGGAAGCCACAAGGCGGTGCCGGATCAGCCCCCGCGATGTAGACAAGGGCCATGTGACAGGTCCGGTGTCGAGGAGTAGTGCATTCCATGCTTCTCTTCTTTTCTTACTTTTCTGCGTGGCTTACTGCTCAGGTTGGCTCAATCCTGCCTCGCCTGAAGAAAAAAGGATGACAGTCAGGAGGCCGAAGGACTCCTTTATACGTGAGAGGCGCGCGCATTCTCAGTAGGCCCGCCCTTGGCGGGCCGGCTAGCAGAGAGTCTCAGTGGGGATGAAATGCTTGCATGATATCGATCAAAGGGGTAGTTATCCATAGAGTCCGTAGTAGAGGGCGGAGCCTGTGAGAGATATAACTCAGCCTCGAGTCTATGTTTGGTCTATTCCGCCAGTCTCCTCTGCTGAACCAGAAGCAACTGCAGCATCTTATTATCCTAAACCGCCACAGTAACGGAAGCGAGGCCAGAACCAAGCCGCCCAGAGGCAGCTTTAGAGCGAATAAAGGTGGACGTTTTTAGAGAGAAAGAGGAGCAGGCAAGACAGCTGATGTAGTTAGAAAGTAAGGTACGTGTTATTTATATACGCAGAGGCGACAATTCAAGAGTGCTTTGTACATGATTATTACACATTGATATTAGAACAGAAGAGAACACAATAAATAAACATAATGCGAAATAGAGCAGCAGTTCAGTAAGAAAACAATGCATTAGATGAGATGATAAGAATAGTTTTAAAAACGACCATTGCTAAATACGACGTCTAAGTGCGCTAAAACAAGGTTAAAAGAGCTTCTGTGTTAAGCCTGCTGGTAAAAGTAAATGTTTTTAGCCTCGACTTAGGAGAAAGAACTCAGCGGTTGGGTGAAGAACCTCAGGTTTTCTGAAAGTTTATTCCATTCGGTGGGTAGCCCATAAAAACTAAAAGCAGGCTCTTGGCGTGTTTGGTTCCTGAGCCGGGGAGCAATGGATGAGACCGCCCCCCCGGATGAGTCTCAGAGCTCTGGGGGTGCTCTTAACAGCGAGCGAAAGCACATGTCAGACATATATATATTGGTGCGCCCAAACCATTGTAATGCCTTTATAAGTTAAACGAATAGATAATTTATTAAAAATCGATTCTGGTAAGCTACTGGTAGCCAGTGCAGAGACCTGAGTGAACTGGGGTGGATGCGTGTGTCTTCTACTCTTTTTGTTTTGGTCAGGACTCTGGCGAAGCGGCGCGTTCTGGATTAGTGTGTAGTTTTTCTAACAGATTTTGTTACAGAGACCTGTAAATACACTATACAGTAATCAAGCCTGCTAAAAACAAAGGCGTGAATTAGTTTTTCAAGGTCTTGTTGGAGACATTAATGTTCTAAGTCTGGCTATGTTTTTCAGGTGATAGTAATGCCGATTTAGTAATTGTGTTGATGTGGGATTTTAAATGAGGTCGGGGTCCAGAGCTACGCCTAGATTGCAGATTTCCTCACCTTTTCCCGATGTATTTAGCAGTAGGGCTTCGAGTTTAGCGCTTACTTCAACCCGTTCCTCCCTTTTGGCACCAAAGATAATTGTCTCTGTTTTGGTTTTTGTTTAATTGTAGGAAATTGTTGCTCATCCAGCTAACTGAATTGTGTTCCATGCAGTTGTGATGAGGGATTGTAATGGTCCGTAGTCGCCAGGCTTTATTGTAATGTATAACTGAGTGTCATCTGCCATAATTGTGGTATGGACATCTTGTAAACTTTTAGTGATCTGGGCTAGTGGAAGCATGTATATGTTAAATAGAATTGGACCAAGAATCGACCCTTGGGGAACTCCACAAGTCATTGCAGTTTGTTTGCGATTTAAAAGAACCAACAGACACAAAGAAGTCCCTGACCTGCAGATACAATTTGAAGCCAATTAAGTGCTTTGCCAGATAAACCAAACCACAGTTTTCTAGTTCTGTCCAGTTAATGTATTTTGTGGTCTGTGGTCCACTGTATCAAAAGCGGCACTGAGGTCCAGCAGTACCAAAATAGTGATTTGTCCCTTGTCTGTGTTTAAATATATATCGTTTAAGACCCTCATAAGTGTGGTCTCAGTGCTGTGATGGTCTCTGAATCCAGACTGGAGAGCATCAAAGCAGTTATTTTGTGCCAAAAAAAAGTTGAGTTGATGGAAAACAGCTTTTCTATAATTTTACCCAAAAGGGTAGGTTTGAAATTGGCCTATAATTCTGCATGATTGAGCTGTCTAGGTGTTTTTTTTTTTAAAGAGGCTTGATTACTGCTGTTTTTAGTGCTTTTGGGAACTGTCCCGAGCTGAGGGAGGTGTTGACTATCTCTAGTAGCTCTGATGCCATGCAGTTAAAAACATTTTTCAGGAAGCTTGTGGGAATACTATCTAAGCTGCAGGAGGAAGAACTTAAATGCAACACTATGTCTTCAAGGGCATTATGGCTGATGGGATCAAACTGTGTCTTGCGGGTTAAGTGTATTTTAAGAGGATGAATGGTTGCCATAGACCCCTTTCCCAAAATGGAGGCACTCACCATTAATCTTATATTTTCAATTTTGGTTGTAAAAAATGATGCAAATTTGTTGCATGACTCAGTAGAGAGGAGTTCAGGGGCAATTGGTATGCCAGGATTTGATAGCCGGTCAACAGTTGAAAACAACGCACGGGTGTTATTGCTGTTTTTGCTGATTATATCAGAGAAAAAGGAGCGTCTTGCGTTCCGTAGTTCGTGATTCTAACTATGAAGACTATCCTTAAATATCTCAAAATGAATGAGAAGATGTGACTTGCGCCACCTGCGTTCCACTTTTCTACAATGTTGTTTGTGCAGCCTCACTAGCGTGGCATTTCTCCATGGTGCTTTATTACCAGAGGTTGGTTTTGCTTTAGCAGGGGCAAGAGCATCAATCAGACATGTAGTTTTTGGCCTGAAATTATCCACCATATCATCAACACTGTTGGATGGAAGTCTGATAGTGGAGGAGAAAGCCTCAACAACTTGTTTGTGTCTTCAGTTATGTGTCGTTTTGTGAGAATCTGTGTAGTCCCTTTATCAGAAATGCTGATATTCATTTTGAAATAATGCAGGAGTGATCCGAGAGGCCAACATCAGTGACCATGAGGTTAGAAATATTGAGACCTTTGGTTATAACTAGGTCAAGAGTGTGGCCCAATTTGTGAGTGGGCCCTGTCACATGTTGGGTTAGTCATTAGCTGTCCAGAATATTATTACATTTGATAGCTCTACTGTCCTTTGGGTTGTCAACATGAATGTTGAAGTCACCAACCATGAGTATGAGAATACAGTCAAAATAATGCAAATAATCGACAATAGTTCAGACAAATCATCACAAAATTGTACAGAATATTTTGGTGGTCTGTAGATAGTTATAAACAGTGCTCGACAGAAGGAATTACATTGAACGGCTAGGTATTCAAAAGAGGGAAATGATTGAATTGCTATTTTCTTGCATTGAAAAGCATTATTAAATATAGTAGCAACACCTCCTCCTTTTCTGTGTGCTCTGTTTTCACCCAAAAAATAAAAATTTGGCGGGGCTGTTTCAATGAGAACAGCTCCACTGTTGTTCTCGTCTAGCCAGGTTTCTGTTAAAAACATGAAGTTAAGGCTATAATTGTTAATACAATCATTAATTAAAAGTGACTTTCCTGAAAAGGACCTGACGTTTAAAACAGCCAAGTGCACTACGTTCTCTTGAACTGAGTGGGGTGTTATGGGGACAGTTATCAGGGGTGCACTGTTTCTTGTACGTAGAGGGCAGGGTGGGTACCTTTTGTTGATGCTTCTGAGCACAGGGATAGGGAGTTGTATAGGCTTTGAGTTCCCTGGCTCCTCATCATGTCCATCAGAGAAGACACATGGATAACAGGGTAAACAGTCTGACAGTCTGTGTGAAACATCATTGTGAAGAGAAGGTTTCCTTATGGGCATTTCCTTATGTCGTCAGTGAGCAGGATGGGGTGTGTATGTTGCAGTGAAGAAGAGTTACCATCAGTGACCGGTGTTGTGTCCAGGTATGCTGCAGCAGATTGTCATGTGCGTTTGGCAGAGGAGACAGCGTGAAAAATATTTTCAGCTATGGCACGTGTGCCCCGTGGAGTGGGGTGAATGCCATCTCTAATGAGAAAGGAATCACGCTGCCAAAACAGATTGAAATTGTCAATGAATCCCAAGTTGCGTGAAGAGCATACTGACAATCCAGTGACGGTACGTCCACACAGCAGCGTTAAACAAATCTTCCAACGCTTCTGCCCATTCACTTTGAATGGGGTGACGTCACTTTTCCTCACTTTTCGCCGAACTGCATTGTGGGAAGCAAAGCAGAGATTTCCAGGCATCTCACGATTCAAAAGTTGAGCAATGTTCAACTTTTGAATCTTCTGAAGCTTTCGGTGGAAGCGTCAGCCAATCAAATCATATGCCAGTACAAGCTCTAGCCCAGGGGTGTAGTGCCAATTACGTCCGAGAGTAGTGTGGGTAGATCGCATGGCCTTGAAAAAAAACTAAGAAAAAAAAAACCTTTTTCTTTTTTTAAAGTTAGCCTATCATCCATTCTTATGGCATTTGCCACTTGATTGACGTACAGGTAAGCCGGTCTGAGTTGTATTGTACCATACGGGTTCATGCAGTTATGAGGGGGCCTCACCTCCTCATCTGAAGCGCAAATGCGGCGCACTATTATACGCTTATGCGGGCCAATTAGTGTAAGCGCGCCGTGTAGTCCACCCCCCCCCCCCCCCACACACACAGATTGGGCAGGGGTGGTCCTGTAGTAGTAGCTCCCAAGCTGAAAAAGTGTGGGCACCCCTGCTCTAGCCAATCAAACCGCTGCTTGTGTGTCAGGGGAGGGAGATTCATGTGATTGGTTGTTGGTCGAGCTTCAGACACGCCCGCCGGCAAGCTTTTTCCAAAGCCG